CCCCCCCCCCATCCCGCCTGTTACCAGGCAACCATCACCTGGGAAACGCCGCATTTAATGATCTATACAGGCGACCGTGAAACAGCCTCGTCACAGCGATGACACGACGGTCGCCATGGAAACACTGCAAAAGTGTGTGTGTGCAAGTGTGTGTGTGTGTGTGTGTGCAAGTGTGGGTGTGTATGTGGGTGTGTGTGTGCAAGTGTGTGTGTGTGGGTGTATGTGTGCAAGTGTGTGGGTGTGTGTGTGTGATCTTGTGAAGATGACAGACTGAAATCTGTGAAACATCGACATGCGCAAAAACATTTATATTCACATCATAAATACCTACACACAACTACACACTTTTAATGAGGCTTCGCTTAAAAGTGTTTCTATAGGGTTCATCTGCATGTGGCCTTCAGCAGCGAGCAGAAGAGAGAAAATATGTTCTCTGGAGCAAAAACAAGAGAAAACCATTCAAACCAGCTTAAGTCGTGACATGAGCACGAGTCAGTGAGTGACAGAGTTTAACACAGTCACAGCCAATCAGAACACTTCTGATGTTAATATGCAGCTGTGGAGCAGGATTCTGGACCAATGAGATTTCACTGTGGGCGGGGCTACACAACTGTGGTAGCTTGTTACTATTTTTAAAAAAATGTAAAAATTCCTGATGAAGGTCATGCGACCGAAACGTCGTCAATAAATAAATATTTCGTTTAAAAAAATATTAAAAATATTAATTTTTGTCTCCAACGCACCTATCTTTTGCCGTCAGGTGTGCGGAGTTTAATTGTTAATTAAAAAATATATAAATAAAATATTTTTTAATTTTGAGTAAACATTGTGTAAATTACTGACAGTCTTCAATAATTGTAGTTAAAAATATTTCAATAATATATAAATATAATATATTATTTTATATTTTAAATAAATACTATGTAAAATACCAGTAATAATTTTACTGACAGTCTTGAAGTAAAATAGTTACAAATAATTTTTCAAAAAATAATACAGAAATATATAATATTTTTATATTTAAATGAAAAATTTACTGACGGTCTTGAATTAAAATAACTAAAATAATACATTATAATAATACAAAAATAAATATTAAAATATATTTTGAGTAAACATTGTGTAAAGTACCAGCAAAATATACAAAAATTAAAAATATTATATTTAAAAAATGCGTAAATATATATAATTTTGTGTAAAATATTTATAGAAATTTCCCTGATAGTCTCGAATAAAAAAGATAAAAATATTACAATAATATATACATATATATATACAGTGGGTACGGAAAGTATTCAGACCCCCTTAAATTTTTCACTCTTTGTTATATTGCAGCCATTTGCTAAAACAAAGGGTCTGAATACTTAGGACCATGTGATATTTCAGTTTTTCTTTTTTAATAAATCTGCAAAAATGTCAACAATTCTGTGTTTTTCTGTCAATATGGGGTGCTGTGTGTACATTAATGAGGGAAAAAAATGAACTTAAATGATTTTAGCAAATGGCTGCAATATAACAAAGAGTGAAAAATTTAAGGGGGTCTGAATACTTTCCGTACCCACTGTATCACTGACAGTCCTAAACAAAAATGTTTGAAAATATAAAAATGATACATAAATATGAAATATAATTTTTACTTACAGACAAAAATTTAAAACATTAGGTCACACTTTATTTAAAGGTCCAATTCTTGCATTAACAACAACTTTTGCCTCAATAAACCCCTAATTTGCTGCTTATTAATAGTTAGTCAGGTAGTTATGAAGTGCAGAATTAGGGATGTAGAATATGCTCATGCAGAACATGTGCTTCATAAGTACTAATAAACAGCCAATATGTTATTAATAGGCATGCTAACTAGTTAATGATTAGAATTGGTCCCTAAAGTGTTACCAAATATTCAATCAATTTAAAAATATAAATATGATTTTTTTACATTTTGAATAAATATTTTGTAATGTTCATTTTACATATCTTTGCTTATATTAAACTATCAGCAGTACATTAGCAATTGCACATGTTGCCTTCTAGAAATCATAATCCACTTTTGAAAGCACACATCAGATGATCGCCTTTAAAAACAACCCAGCAGACAGACAGACAGACACACACACAGACAGACACACAGACGGACAGACAGACAGACAGACAGACACACAGACAGACACACAGACGGACAGACAGACAGACAGACAGACACACAGACAGACACACAGACGGACAGACAGACAGACAGACAGACACACAGACAGACACACAGACGGACAGACAGACGGACAGACAGACACACACACAGACAGACAGACACACAGACAGACACACAGACGGACAGACAGACAGACGGACAGACACACACACACACACAGACACAGACAGACAGACAGACACACAGACACACAGACACAGACAGACAGACAGACACACAGACAGACAGACACACACACACACACAGACAGACACACAGACAGATACACAGACAGATGTCTCACACTGTTTTCAAATCATGTCTATAACACTTCCACACAGATTCCACAGAAAGCCGGTCTGCCATAAATTAAATCTAATGTTAGTCTAGTGTTCTGACCTTCATGAAGGTCTTGAGGTTCTCCTCCTCTCGCAGGAAGTCCTTGTACAGCGTGCTCCACTGAGACACCAGGTGCAGTACTTTCCTCTTCCTGAAGAGGGCCTCCTTTCCCTCCTCCTTCCCCCGGCAGCGCTTCGTAGAGTAGGTGAGATCCGGTTAAAGACCAACAACTAACTAACTAATAAACACAGGGCTTCAGATGAACACACAGAAGAGCTTCGCTATACACTACAGACCGCAGATAAAGAAATATATTCATCCCACCACTACACAAAGACACAACTGTCGTTATCAATTAAAAATATTACAAATATTTAGAGAATACAAAAATATAAACAAAATATATCTTTTATAAGTTTGATTAATTTTTTTTGTGTAAAACCCTGGTATAAATTGTAAAGCCTGACAACACTACATAATATAATAATAATAATAGCAATTATAATATACTGTATATAAAATATATATCTAATATGTGACCCTGGAACACAAAAGCAGTGTTAAGTCGCTGGGGTATATTTGTAGCAATAGCCAACAATTCATTGTATGGGTCACAATTATACATTTCTCTTTTATGCCAAAAATCATTAGGATATTAAGTAAAGATCATGTTCCATGAAGATATTTAGTACATTTCCTACCGTAACTATATCAAAACTTAATTTTTGATTAGTAATATGCATTGCTAAGAGCTTCATATGGACAACTTTAAAGATGATTTTCTCAATATTTAGATTTTTTTGCACCCTCAGATTCCAGATTTTCAAATAGTTGTATCTCAGCCAAATATTGTCCGATCCTAACAAACCATACATCAATGGAAAGTGTTTATTCAGCTTTCAGATGATGTATAAATCTCAATTTCGAAAAAATTGGCCTTTATGGTTTTGTGCTCCAGGGTCACATATCATATTTATTATATTTTCTTATTTATTTATTAATCTATTAAAATGCTGCACTTTCTACGTAACTAATGATACATTTTCCTTTTTCTCAACCTCATTTGAACATTTGATTAATTTTTTTTGTGCAATTTATATATATATATTTTTTAAATGTAACAATATTTTATTATATTTGTTTAAATATGATTCTGCAAGGACTATAATTATATGTTGAATATTTGTTTAATTTTTTCAGCTTCAATTCTCTCTCTCTCTCTCTCTATATATATATATATATAAAGAAAGATTTAAAGTTTTTTTATATATTTTTAATAATATAAAATAATATAATTTACTACAAATAAAAACATTTACTATATCTAATATAGTAGTTATTATATTTGTTTCAGTAAATAATAAAAAATATATATATAATATATAAATTACAAATAAAAAACCATTATATCTAATTTAATATTTATTATATTTGCTTACAATTCTGCATTTTCTAGGTTACAAATGAAAAACATTTTGGTCATGTATTTTAAATTACACATTACACAACAGATTGTTATTGAGAAAAACCCCTTTGTGCTGTTATGAACGTACATGAAGACGGTCTTTAGCTGTGACTATATTTATAAACACAGCACGGCCGTACTGCTTGATTATAAAACACACACAACACATCCGCATGGGTCGAGTGAAGAGCCTCTCGGTGGCTCTGGAAGACGTTATGGAGCGATCTGAAGGATATTGTCCCAGCAGCGCCTGGCAGAGCTCACTGGTGGACATGAACACCAGATACGTCAGCAAGAAGTCGTCCAGAAGCATTTCTGCAAGAAAACATCAGCACACACAAACACAGATCAGCAGACAGTTCACTCTCCTGCAAGGCATGTTTAATGAGAGCTTTAATGAACGCCGGGCTCATTAGTGCTGTTTGATCAGGCAAGTGTCACTGTTACATGTGCTCACACTCGGCTTACTGAGCTAAACAAAAAGATCCTCACGGCAAGAACTCAACTTTGGCACATAACTGTGTGTTTCTTGTTGAGGAAAAGAGGCCAGATTTTCACCTGGTAGACAATGAATCTGAACAGTCTCCTAACGGATATGAATATGCAAATCAGCTCCTAAATGTCATTAGTAAAATTATTTATTATAAATATTATATACATATAAAAATGTTAGAGAGAGAGAGAGAGAGAGAGAGAGAGAGAGTTCTAGTCTTTTGACAGACAGCATTGAATTAAAAAAATATTTTAAAATATTATAAAAATATATATAAACTTTTTCAAAAAAAATTATTTATTTATTTTTAAATATAGACATATAACTTGCAACATATTTAAATATAAAGTTATATTTTTCTATATATACTGTATTACTCTATAGAGTATAGACGGAGTTAATTTTTGGTTTATATACACACATACACATATACAAAAATTTTGAGTAAACAATATAAATACTGAGTAATAAATAGTAAACATATTGATAAAATACTAGTAATTTGACAAAGTCTTGAACAAAAAAAATACTTTAAAATATTAAAACCTTATATAAATCTTGAATCTAAAAAAATGAGTAAATATTGTGCAATACAGGTAGAAATATTAATGACAGCCTTGAATAAAAATAAATATTAAAACTATGAGACATTCAGCGCAGTATTCCTGCTCTCTACCCACAACCCCCTTCTTCCTCTCTGTTTGTCTTCTCTGCGTCTGCTGATAAATATTCATTTCCATTTTTATCGCTGGTGCCTGTGTGAACAGAAGGCCGGCCCACAATGCTGCGCTGCACCTTCACCTGCTGCTGAGAGACACAATCAGACACCAGTCAGTGTGTGTGTGTGTGTGTGTGTGTGTGTGTGTGTGTGTGTGTGTGTGTGCGTGTCTGTGTGTGTGTCTGTGTGTGTGTGTGTATTATACAGTGACTTTCACAGAGGTCAGCGGTTAAAGGCAGTTTCTTCATTACCTGAGGTTTGTCTTCTAGCACAGCTCGCCAAACATTTACTATCATGAATACAATTTTATACAAAAAATTAAGGTATTTGTGAAATGTATATCTAGTGAAAAGTGATACTGCCAGTATTTAGATGATGCATGATGAAAGTGTTTTTATTAACGGATGAAGAAAATAAGTTCAACCCACTTACCAAAGGAAAAAAAAAAGTTGTTATAAATAAAATAAATAAATAAAATAAAATCTGAAAATATTTTGTAAATGCTGGTAGAATTTTAACTGACATCCTTAAATATATACATTTTTAAAATATTACAATATTACATAAATATAAAAAATGAATAACAAATACTTTTATAATTTTGAGTAAATATTATAGAGATTAAAACGTTTCAAAATATTTGAAAATTTTATGAACACGAAATATAAACTTAATTTCAACAAATATTGTGTGAAATACTGGTAGAAGTTTTACTGACAGCCCTAAATATTTTTTTAGATATTAAATATATTACATAAATAAAATATAAAATTAAATATTTTTTAAAAACATATATATATATATATATATTGAAATAAATTCAACAGTAAAAATAAAAATATTAAAAAATTATATAAATACAAAAATATACATCAATTTATATTTTGAGTAAATATACAAAATCCTAAAAAAATATGCACTCTGACTTGCAATCACATTTTTAAGTGGTCCGTAAAACAATTAAAAGTGCATTTCATTTACTGTAGATTATCTGTTTTGTAGCTACTTTTAACACCACTAAAGGTTAATTTTGACTTTTTTACGTTTCTACAGTCAGTCTGCAGCACCACGGAAGCAAAAACCAGTCTCATTCAAAGTCCTAATGATTTAATTTAATCTAAAAATACCTTGGGCTTCTCTGAACGGCCGGGTTTCCCGCTGAGAAACAGCATCACGAGACGATTTCTCACGCACAATAGAGAGTCTCTGAACAATTATCACCGAACGCCAGCGCACGTCTGAACACTAGCACTGACTCACAGTATTCTACATCAATGCTGCACTGCTCATGCATTCAGCATTTAAACACAATAGTGTAATATCAGTATGAGAAAGCGCTTCCTGTGCTTTACTTCACCACCCTCTCTCACTCTGCTGCTATCAGCCTGTCTGCCCATGGAAAAAGTCTCATCACTTGCAAGAAGCCTCGTGACCTGTACACTGGAAGAGAAGTGTAGGTAAATCAGATTTAAATGTGACCTAGCCCTTAATATTGCACAGTATAAAATATATACACAGATATGTATGTAAAAAAAAAAAAATATATATATATATATATATAAATGTATGATTATTTAAAACAAAATACAGGTTTCTCTAAAACAAAACAAGTTGTAAACAGTTGGCTTTTATTATATTATTTAATAGTATTTATATTCACTTAACAATTATCAATTGTGGTGTTATCATAATTAAAAAAAGTTATTACTTTGTATTTACTGTATATATTTATTTTACATTTAAAATGTAAATATAAATTTAATATACATAAAATGATAATTTCTTATTATAATAGGACCACAACGGATAACTATTATTTCAACTTAATATTTACTACTTTATTATTTTGTACTTAATATAATTAATATAACATAATTTAGTATGTATGATAAAGATTATGTGTGTGTGTGTGTACATTCCCTAGATTAGTTCATTATTAAAATATCTATTAAAAATTGTATAAAATAAAGCAATAAGCCCCAAGAAGCCATGGTTTACAGTGAATTTATAACAGCTAAGGGGCGTTATTAGCTACGACGCGAAGCGGAGATAAAACGGTTATTCCATATACGTAGTACGGTTTCACAGAATGAAACAGAGCTAATAAAGTGTAATGATATTAATAAAAACAGTACTCTTCCACCAAACAATGTAGTTCCTCAGAATCAGTTGTGGATGCAACACACAAATGTAAACAGAGGTGTGTGTTTGTAGAGTAATTTACAACAGCTTCGAACGTGGCTCAGCCAATCAGAATCAAGGACCGGAACGATCCGTTTTATAAATTTTTTTATATACTTATATACTTTATATATAATTAACTTATATAATTTATATATATAAATTAGTTAGTTAATTATTAAAATTATTATATTATATATAATATTATTATTAATATTATATAGATAAATTATACATTAAATAGACAGAAATATACATAAATAATATACAGTTATTGTAACTGTAATAATTATAATTATATGAAGAGTTTGGTTCCAAAACGCTATAAATCCATTTTGATTAATTTGAGTAAAAATGTGTTTTCTTTACCTAGAAAGTGGCGAGATGAAAACCACTATTTTCTGTTTCAAACTTTCACATAGCATCAGTAGGTTATAATAACATTAAAAATTCAAATCCAGATTTAGATTTTTAAAGATTTATTATAAAAACTGATTAATTAAAAATTATTCCTTTTTTTAGGGCTGCACGATAAATCGAATGCGATTGTCATGCGCATCTCGTCAGTAAAGCCGGTTCTGTGATCAATAGTAAATCTCCATCACCTGCTTTCAGATGGAGCAGCATTTACTACACAGAGCCGTAGATCACTGACAAGCTACGCAATAACACGTTCATAATCGAAGGCGATTCATCTGCAATTATGAACGCGATATTGCGTAGCTACTGTTTATAGTGCGTGGAATGGTGCGCTGTGATTGGTTGTTACCGTTTACTGTGCGTGGAATGGTGCGCTGTGATTGGTTGTTACCGTTTACTGTGCGTGGAATGGTGCGTTGTGATTGGTTGTTACCGTTTACAGTGCGTGGAATGGTGCGCTGTGATTGGTTGTTACCATTTACAGTGCGTGGAATGGTACGCTGTGGAATGGTGCGCTGTGCTGATGCTGTGATTGGTTGTTACCGTTTACAGTGCTTGGAATGGTGCGCTGTGATTGGTTGTTACCGTTTACAGTGCGTGGAATGGTGCG